TCTTCTTGGTGAGGAATGCGACCAGACCAGAGCAGCGGAAATCAAACCTACTCTTTGTGAGCCTTGGCATTAATCAAAGGCAAGAAATGTCCATGATATGGAAGTAAAGCAAAACTTTATTAACTTTGTCCTTCACATACCTGTAAAAACAGTGGTGATATTATTTTCCATACTTTGGTGTGATTTGCAACACCTTTTGTCCCAGAACTTCATGTGTGGTAGTGAAAAGGATATTAATAAACAACGTTGCAGGGGGAGGTCAGCGGTCAACGATGGTGGATAGATGTAGATTTTAGAGCCCCTCTTAGTTCTGGCTGGACCATACGTATTTCACCACATAATTTGAGAAAAACATTGTAAAAGCATTTTGGTCAGGTAGAGGGACCGAAAGAAAATTGGTTGCTTTTCAACGAAAATGACAGAAACACCTTCAGGCAAGTGTAGGCTCGAACACAGCGGTCTCAAGTCTCAAGAAAGGCGAAAAATAAATATTTATTCATGAAAGCAGCACGCATGCGCTGTGTGAGTCACGGGTGGAAAGAACCCTGGAGAGTCTGAACTGACACAGTGTTAGGTTATGCAAGCATTTTCTAGCAGCATTTCCAAGTCCGTGTCTCCACACAACACCTTGTGATGTCTATTCTGGACGCAGCCACGGAAGAGGCTTGGGTCGAAGGTCAATTTTAAGTCTACAAAGAGTGGTATGGTCAATTTATGGGATGGGGGTAAATACTGTATATAAATTGACACCCTTAATAGAGTTGAAATTGACCTTGGACCCAATCCTTTTCCGCGGCCATGTCCAGAATAGATATCACAAGGTGTTGGGTGACACGGACTTGGAAATGCTGCTAGAAAATGCTCGTTTTCAGCGTAATGCGAGGAGATTTTTGGCAATCAGGTAATTGCCAGGGTGCAATGACCTTACATTTTAAACTTTGAAAAAATTGCAGATCAGATGGATTTTCTGGGCACAAACCACCTCCATTTGGACAACAGTCGAAATTGAAGTGTGTAGCCTTGACTTCGTCTTATGAAAGGGATAAACTGTGATGGCAAAGAAAGCCCAAAATAGCAGACATTGCCAAAAATCACAATAGACACAAGAAATGAGTAAGTTTTATTAATCTTATGTGAAAAATGTTCATTTTTCGTAATATTTAGCATTCTAAATCGACCGTATTTCATTCCCCATACAATCTCTTACAATCTCAATGGTTCCTCACATAACCTAACACCATGTCAGTTCAGACTCATCAGCCAGAGGGTTCTTTCCATCCATGACTCACACAACGTGCATGTGACGCTTTCATGAACAAATATTTATTTTTTGCCTTTCTCAAGACATGAGCTTGGGATGCCTGTGGCTTGAAGAACTCAACAAGGTCAAAGATGTAAAGGACATCTTCAAATGTTTTGCAACTCTTCATGCGAATATAGCCACAGAATTCTTCCAGTTTCATGAGAAACTCAAGGAAACAAGCGACCGAATTGTGGAATTGGAGAAGGTGGTGTTACACTTCAAAAATGAGCAGTTGGAGACGAAAAAAAGTACGATACCCGGAATAATAGAAGAGGCTGAAAAGAACAACAAGGCCACTTGTGACTACATTCTTGCCCTCAATCTGTGGGGAAGGAAATGGAATCTCTTCGTCCATGGTATTACTGGAGAAATAAGTTGGAGAAATTTCTGATCTTACAAGGAAAAAGTTCATGAATTCTTCAACACTACACTCAAGATAGATCCTAGTGAAGTGAAAAATATCGATATCGCAGCCTGACACAGAATTGGAGGAAGCTGCTATGCGACCAAGGAGTTGATAATTGTCACATTTGTTGACCTACAACAATGGAATTGTATTCTCAATCTAGCCAAGAAGTTCCCAAAGGGGTCAGGTTATGGAGTTATGGTTGATCTGCCACCAGAGCTTTCCAAACTTAGAGGCTGCTTACTCAAGAAGAAAAGGGAGTTACCCTTTCAGCAACAAAAGGAGGCGAAATTTAAGTATTTACAGAAGGCCCCTTTCCTTCAACATAGGTTTAGCAGATGAAAAGAAAAGGAAAGATGTCTTTCATTGGCTTCGGCAAAAAAGCTGGACATGTATTGTCTGCAGGAGGCACATAATTTATCCAAAATAGGCAAAAGAGAACAAGCAAGGTGGAAATCAAATCCATCATTAGTATTTTTTGTTGTTTCTTAGTTCAAAGCACTTCTCGTTTAGGTGTTTGAAATCAGTTGCTGTATGTGGCAGAGGAAGGATTTGTCTTTTGGCAGTAACATAGTTTGAAATTGTAGAGTTTGTATGAGGACACAATGGATGCTGGAAGTGATGAAGCCAGAGATTCTGGCGATCTTAATGGGGGTTGCCATAGGATGCCAAGTAAACAACTGGATCAAGAAGGCGTTTTCTTCGAAAAACTTCGCCAACCCAAGAATGAAAGATTGGGCCATCTTTCCACAGTTAGCGCTAGGAGAAATGAAATCGATGCACTGTTGTCAAACAAGGAAAACATTCAGCTTGTAAAGGAAAAGTTGCCTGGCTTTCTGGCTGCTGTTGAAACATTTAAAGAAGCTCATCTGGCGTATTTGTTGAATCTTCACGATGAAATTAGCATAGCGAGATGTCAAGAGCAGTTAAATTTAGAGTCTTAATGTGCCAACCACTTTTATCAAAGAGTTCAAGAGATCAGATCAGAGGAGCTTCTCAGGTTGAGCTCTTAGATCAATCCTGAAGATTCAACGAGTCAGATCGGTTCTCGGGCCACATCTAAGACTTCGTCAAGAAATCATGATATTCGAGTCAGTGGTTCAAACAGGAGTGGTACATCATCCTTAGCATTTGTAAGAGCAAAGGAAGCAGTGCGTAACACAGAGCTGGAAGCAGAGGCGGCTGTACTAGAGAAACAGCGGTCATTAGAGGAACAAAAGTTATGTTTGCAGCAAGAACAGGAATGTTTGACACTGGAAACTGAACTCGCCAAGTCTAAGGCTAAAGAACAAGTTTTATCTTCAATTACGGAAACTGCACCATGTTTGTTTGTGCTGAATCCAATGAGCTTGGAATCCAGGGAGGATGAGAGGAAAGTTGAAGCACCGATTATCGGACTTGAAACAAAGCCAGTTCGAGCAAAGGGTCTATTAACAATCGCTGTTGGTTGTTCTACCTTAAATCCCGAAGCAGTAGAATGGCATCAGCGTTCATTAGTAACTAACAGGAAAGAATGCGCTGATGAGTCTGAACATTCTGGTGCGTCATCATCACCAAGTGAGAGGGCTTTTCATGTAATGCTAGGGCTGCACCACCACCAAAATGCACTACAACAACAGCAGCACAAAATCATGGAAATGTTTGTCAGGCAACAGAAGAAAAGCAATCTTACCCAGCAACAGGTTCCTATCTTCAATGGTGATCCTATGGAGTATGGTCTCTTTGTTAGAGCCTTTGAAAACATCATTGAGTCCAAAACCTCCATTAGTAGTGAGAGGCTGTACTACCTTAAGCAGTTTACAAGTGGTGATGTGCAGGAACTAGTTTGATTGTGCCATTACCTTCCACCTGAAAGAGGCTATCAGGAAGCCACACGGTTGATGAAAAAGAAATTTGGTGACGATTACCGCATTGGGACTGCCTACTAAACCAAGGCGTTAAACTGGCCTGAAGTGAGAGCCGAGGACAGCGGCTCTCTGGACAGGTTTTCCATTTTCCTCATGAGATGCAAAAACACTATGGAATGCAGCAAATACCTGACCAAGCTTGAGCAGCCTGACACCATAAAAAAACTCAATATAATTAATTTACAAAAAAGTGGCGCTGTTTAGTCCATCATGTTATGAAAATTGAGGTCTGTTACGTTCAGTGACCTTGCTGAATTTGTGGGCAATGAAGCAAGAGCAACTGCCAATTCCGTATTCGGAAAGATCACTGAAGACACAAAGCCCAAGAATGAATGGAAGGACAAGCAGAACAGATCTGGTAGAAGTAAAACAGGTCTTGCTGTGCAAGGTAGGGAGATCCTGAGGGAGATCCTGAGGTGAAGATGGAGGTTAAAGTGTGCATGTCCTCACTAGGGAAGCAAAGCTGTCCACTGTTAATATTTCTAGAAACGCTCTACCTGGACCCACCTAAAGAAAGTTGTGGCCTGGCTCCTACACTATCGCGAAAGACTTCTGAATGCAACCAAGAAGAACGAGTTAGGGATGGACCATTAGAAAAGTGATGGGGGTGGGACTTTTTCAGTTTGCAGGAATTTCTTTTCATGTCCACTGGCTCTGCAGGATTTTTTTTTTCGGGGTCAAGTCCCCTGCACAAATTTATTTTTTTTCAGGGGCTGGATATTCTACTGTCGCAATCTTAATCTTCACTCGCCACAATCTGATTGCCTGGAACAGGCTTTAAACAAATATGTTTATATATTTCACACTGTTGTTTTGCCTTACTGTCAAAATTATACTCAGAGGAAACATAACCAAGTATCAGACACCTTTTGTAAGCGGCTATTGCCCAACTGATGGGGTTGCATTGTATTTCTTGTTTGATGTCTAGGGAAATAACAATTTTATTAATTCCTTCCCCTTTTAACAAAATTCATTCTTGGCATGCAGTGAATCAAGGTTTTAGCTAGGATTCTGTGGGTGCTCGTCCAGTAGCAATGATATGGGGCCAAAGGGCCTATTTTGCTAGGGGGTGTGGGGGTATGCCCCCCAGAAAATTTTTGCAAAATTGAACCATTTTTGGTGCATTTTCCATGATTTTCACCTGATAAATTTAATGTATTGATTGGACTTGAATGATAATGCATCGTTTACTCTGTCAAAAACCTAAAATAGATTGAAACAGCCCATACTAAATGCATCAGTTGTGTTAACAACTCCATGGTTGTCTTTTATGACGTTTGTCCAATGTTGATCTCAGCAGCCATATTAGGGGAAGTGTTACGGTTTGCCATGGGTGTGCATAGCCTGTGTACAGCCGCCCCTCCCCTCCAAAAAGAATCGGGAAGGAGCGTCTCTGATTTACTGTTGATTATCATGTTCAAAGACCATGTGACTTTTTCTGGAATGTGTGGAAAATGATGTGATTGGTTATTTCCCTTACATCATTACATCACTGAAATAGTGAGATTTGATTGGCTTTCATTTTCGCGGGCTTTGCAATTGGAGTCTTCTCTAAAGAATCTTTCACTTTCGTTCGCAACCACAATATGATGTGAGATTTTGACAATGAGTTTATGTGTTCTCTGTGGCTTAGCCATCATAAAAAATACGGATAAAAATCTTGTTGATGGTCTAAGGGGCAATTCTTTTAAATTTCAAGAGGAATTGTTGTCTTTGGAGTGTAAAGTTGAAATCAATTCCACGTATATTTGTAGAAATTGTCTGTTTGCACTGAAGAAATGAAGGGAACTCTTAAAGAATCTTCACGAAGTGAATAGCTCAATTCAGAAGATTGCCCAGTCGAAGAAGTGTTCTGCTGTTCCATTACCAGTCCCAACACCTTCCCCAAACCAGCTCAGCGACTCCGAAGAGCAAGCTACAAAGCGTGTTGCCTTAGAGGATTTTAGAGCACTTGTGACATCTGTGGATATCGAAGAAGATAACAGCACATTGCCAAATAGAGCATTGGTAGATCAATGGCCAAGTATGCTCACGTCAACACCTTGTAAGGAGAAAAATTGTCCTGTGGCCTTTGCTGCGGTGGTTGGACCTGTTTCGCTGATTCCTGCTCGAGGACTCGTGTCAAATGGCCCAGCTGAACAAAAGTGAATACTCTTCACGAATAGTTAGGGTCGCTTAGCAAGATGCTTTGTTGTGGAACATCCAAACAAATTGCTGGAGTTGAATGGAGGAATCCAGTTTTAAGGAAATATATGCAGCAGTTGTACCTTGTAGTATATAGGGAGTCACACAAATACCGTTTTGCAGAGGGAGCCTTATTTCACCGAGGGAGCCTTATTTCACCGTTTCGCAACCACCACCATCAAGACTGGCCCTCACAAGCTTGGGCCGGTTGAACCTGGGGGTTGCGAAAAGCGAAATTCAGCTCCCGCTTTGAAACAGTATTTGTGTGACTCCTTATATACTACTTACAACTAGGGGTGGGGGGCTGCCCCCACGGCAATTGGAAACAAGCGAGCCCGCTGTTATACCGCCCGAGCTGCGATGTCTCAAGCACCAAACAAGTGCGGGTGGCTGATGCGGGGCCGGAAAGAAAGCTGTGGACTTTCCGAGGCCATTCAAAACCTCCCTCCAGAGCTCCGTGAGATGAATCTCAAGGAGAACATCGCAATAAAAATTGAGGAAAAAAAGGAAATGGGGTGGGGTAAGGTACAAGAGAATATTCCAAAACTGCCATTCTGCGAATTCAAGCAGCAAATTGTGCCAATGGTAATTTGCATTGAATATCTGGACTGTTATTTTGAGGGTTGTTGTTTCCCGTGTTTCCAAAGGGAGGGAAATCTTCATAAAGCATAGCTAAGCCGGCCGATGGAGTTAATAGAAGCTGACCCAGAGTACAAGAATTTTTTAGAAATATGCTCTTGGAACGGTTATAATTGGCACGAGTGGTTCCTTTTTGGCAGGGAGCGTTAGCGAAAAAGGCGGCGACTAACCTTCGTTCGAAGTAAAAGTTTTGCGAGTTGCGTGACATTTTTCTCAGAAAGACTGGAACCAAATATTCCCCAGACCCTTGGCCGAGCAGTACTGAAAAACATGGAGGACAACTCAAGATTTTTTTCTTTGGGCCGAAAATGACGAACCAGAACAGAATTTACCGAAAAAATATGCTCAGTCAACGTGCTGTAAGTTATTTTTTCACCACAGAAGCTGCCGAAGTGAAGCGAGCGGGAGGAAACGAGAAAATAGCAAGATTCGATCGCAGCGTTCGATCGCTCGTAACATGAAATATTCTTGAACAAGGGCCTCAATCGAGCCCATTCAAGTTTCCTCTGCTTCTCGCATGGCTTCAACGACTTGATATGTTATCTGTCTGACCTCTTTCTGCCAAACGGGCGTAGAAAGTTCCGTGAAAATAAAGCAAATAGCGTGGAACAGCACAATCATTTTGGCCTTCAGAACTGCTGTTGGGATATAATTTATTCAGCCAAGCTCTAAATATAGCTCAAGCATGACATCATCTCGCCACCCAAAAGTGCAGGCGTATGTGTGAAAACCTGCGAAGGACAGAGAAGCAACACCACAAGTGATAGGAGCGGGACTGGATCAATGTATATAGCTTGAGTAATTTTACTGTTTATCAGCAAGCAAATGATGGTCCTTTTGGATGTGAGGGTGGCCACCTCTGATTCCTAATACGGCACGTACAGGCGCTTGTCAGGGGTATGAGGTGAGATCGTCCACGGTGACAACCCCGGGTGAACCCGCCCCAGCCCAGTGGTGACTGGGGGTGCTCAGAGGTCCCTTGGGACCTCAAACCTCGTCCGGAGGTAAAACGGGACAACCGCCTTGTCAGCGGCACGAAAAAGACCTATCCGGGGCTAGGCACAAAGAACAGCCAATGAGCACCCCCGACAGGGTGTTGCCCTTGTGTGTGACCTGTCACGCAACGTCACGCGTGACAGTAACGTAACCCAGTCACGCAATGTCACGCGTGAGGGTAACGCGGTGTAACGCAATCATCTGTTTTAACAAGACAGAGATAGTTTTGTGTTTTTTCGCACAAAATTTAGTTCAAATCTGCTGTTTAATCCGCAAGGTTTTTTCTATATTCTTCCCGAACCTGGTTTCTTATTTTTTCAATATCTGGCTGGATTGGATTTGTTTGTATTTGCGCGAAGTTCAAGCGTAAAGTCTCTTTAAGCTGGCGATATTTCTGCATTTCACGTGTGATCAGTTGAAACTCCGTGTCAGAAACCCGATTATCATTAAGAGCTTGTGAGACAGAGCAGTTTATCGAGTCACGTTTTGCAATAGCCAGAGAGTGGATTGTCGAGTGCTTATTGACTTTGTGTTCAAGCTTCTTGTTTACAACGGACAGGCCAGTGGAAACCGTGCCAGATAAAGCGGCTATTCCGGCAACAGGCGTGCTGACAACAATTCCAACACCGGTGAGTGATGTTGCGACAGCCCAAGAAGACAGAGCTGCCGTGACGGCGCCAACGCCAACCACGGAATAGTGAAGCACTTTCTGGGCTTTTTTATACACAAGCCTGTAATGCTCGACCTCAGCAGATATTTTGTTTTCAATTCTGCTTATCTCAGTTAGCCGGAAATTCTTGGCATTTGTCATTTCAGGAAGGCTTCGATAGAGTCTTCTTTCATTCTCAGCAGGCGGCGCGCTTGGTGGTAACAGATTTGCCGAAGACATTGCGTATATATAGAAATTTAATTTAACTCTAATTCAAAAAGAAGCGGAAAGCCCTTGAAATCAAAGAGTTCGCCATTTTGATCTTTCACGCTAATAGTGATGCTATTTATGAACTCGTCTGTAGAGCAGTCTCGCAAAACCTGTTGCGGAGAACCCTGGTAGTTCACCTTTTCATAAGGATTCCCTTTCACATCAAACAAGGCTAATACATCTGACCTTTTGCCATTGAACAGATTCCATTGTGTCGATCAAATTACAATGAATAAAATATGTCATTGGAGCGGTTAGCCTTTTTACGAATGTCATAAAACCCAAATTTTGCCTAATATTAAACAAATTGGCTAAATCGCGATCAAGTTCAATCGGTTTTCACCCAAAATTTTTGATTACAAGCTGGCCAAGAGGTTGGTTTATTTCTGTTACAAGGTCATATTTATATTTTGCAAACAGACCTTTTATTTCTTTTGCCATGCTTTCTAAATTATAATGCCCTGGGAGTAATTTACTAACTGACAAAGGTATATCTTTGTTTTTATCTCCCAAGGAGGCCGAACCTTCTTTTTTCAAAGTGTCCCAGCTGTTGTACAAACTGCAAGATACGAGTTTCATGAAATGCACTTTCGGTATCGGTTTTTCAAAATATATTGTCCCTCCGTTCTGTTGCGTGACAATAGTGAGAACAACCATTTTTATATTCAACAAAAAAATTGTGTTCAAATAATACGGCGAATTTGTGGAATGGTCCTGTGTTAAAAAAAGCAGAGGTGGCGAAGAAAAAGGCGTGGACAAACTTTTTAAACCGCTTCCCCAAAGCGGACAAAAGCCGGTTCATTTTGCAAGGAAGCGTCGACGAGAAAAATAACGTGACCACGGAGGTGTTCTTCAAAGAAACTGAAGACTCGTTTCAAAGCGTCTTCAGTTCAGATAGAAAATATTGGAGTGCCGAAATGAAAGAAGCGCTTGGTTTGGGAGACGGTGGGGGTTTTCTGTACCAATTGGCGCAACTTGGTTGAAAAGTTTCCCTGCCAATCCCTGTGGTACCTTTCGACGGCAAAGCGCCAAGCTTGAAAAAATATTCGACGATGCAATCCAAATCTACGTCATGCTTGACCAATATTTCACAACAAAATTCCAAGAAATATTTCAAGACACCAAACTCAAACACACGTGTGGAACCAAATCAAAACACTGGTTAGGAGGGCCAGACATGAAATATCGGCCGCAACAGCTCAACTTCGCGGTTTTCAGTGCGACACAGGGGTGCGGAGTTTTTTGCGAAATCGCAGATAAGAGCTTTTTATATCTTCCACGTGTATTTCATGGTCAGGCGCATTTTGTACCAGCTAGGAGGTGTTCAGAGCATAAGTGCTTTGCCCGGAGACCCGACGTTCAACCAAATGAATAATCATTATGACGTCGCTTCATACAAAAGGATATGTGGCGAGTTCGGCATAGACCCCTCAAGCGACTTTAGGTTTACTTCGGGTGCAAATAGTGGTTTGGGGGTGTTGTATGTTAAGACTTGGGGGGAATCGCCAACAAAAACAGATTATAAGTATCCTGATTGGAACAAGTTTAGCGACGAAGGTGGAAAACTGATTAAGGGGAACCTTACCGAGTTTATACGGCCCGATGTTTTTGGAGATCCGCAGTTCGACTGGTTTGCACCCAACACCGCGAATGGTTTGATGCAGGTAGGGTTGTCGAGAATCAACCAGTCAATCGAGGCTTTCGTTTACTGCATCCTGGGTGCGCAAGTCAACGTCCGCAGCAGCATTCTCGGCTCAGGTGGCCGGGCGAAAGAAGCCCAAAGCGAGTTCCTAGTGTTGATGGAAGAAGCGATCAGACAGCCCGACTTGGCCAAGAGTGTGCAAAGGTACCAGCTCACGGTGGATCAAGCGAAGGTCAGGCTCAATCTCGCTGTAGCCCCCATGGCCTGGCTCATGCCTGTGCAAATGATAATAAACACTGCAAGCACGGTCGGTTACAACAACAAGCTGAAACAGGCGGTCTCTAGGATGAAACTTGGGGTGAACAACCAGGTAAACCTGGGGACAAAAAAAGCTGGGCTCAAACTAATGGCAGGCGGCCCGTCAAAAATTAACCCACCCAACAGCCATCTGTCCAACCCGATACACAAAGCCGCAACAGCCGAATCAAGGAAACCAGCTCCGTCCGAAACTCAGCAAGCACGGCCAACGGCACAAAAAATAGAGCCCATGGCTACAGATAAAACGTCACAACACGAAATAAACAAAACGGCAGTAATTGTCGGTGTAGTTGGATTATCGGCTTTGCTGTTCATGGCTGGGCGGTAAGTTAACGCTGCTTCTTAAAATATTTTTCGAACAAAAAGGCCACTGTGGCAAGAATGAGCAGCCAGGTGTGCTCAGCCAGAAACCCGATGACTTGGCCGGCGGCTCTGAACAGGAAGCTCACGATCGAGCCAATCAGCCCAGGCAGCAGAGAACCGAGTTTCACGGTGACATCTTTGAGGCCATTTCCCAAAGCTTTGCCGGTGGCTTTCAAACCTCTG